AAGTTGTTTAATGGTCTCGAGCTTAAGACATTGCGTAATATATTGTAAAAATATTCGAGCCTCACGGTCCTCTTGTTGTTACAATATATTACTTAATGTCTCGCTCTCGACCATTAAACAATACTCCGGCGTGGTTCTCCCTTGTCAGTGATGCAGGACGGAGGGGCTGACAAGGAAAGCTGTCTAGTCGTTCGGATGGGACGAAAAACCGAGGTCCCGTGTACACATTGGCGTGCACGTAAAAGATCTCTTGGCAGTTGGAATTAGCTATAAGAGTAGGCCGTAGTGCCGCTGTCCGGGCAAAATTTCCCTCATAGCACACTGTATGGCGTATGCCCGTCTTCATTAGCCCAGGTTAGGAGCAGAACAGTAGGACGTTAAACCCCATTTCATTTCATTTCATTTCCATTAAACAATACATATAACATTTCAGGCTTAAAGATAGACCTGCAATAGACAGATCTAGCTCTGTATGTTTAACTAGGATTACACTGACTATTTCAGTTATTTATAGTTTGTAGAGGCATAAGCCAATTTTGAGGTGATCCCCGTTTGTGAAAAATTGATTGATTTGACTTGCTATAAGCTTACAACTAGAAACTAAAAGATGTATCTGTTTTAACTTGAATGTTGTACATATTTTGGGGGTGTTGGATGGCCGAATGGTTAGCATGTGCGTGCTGTATCATAAGGCCTGTCATTGAGTGAACTGGCATGGTTTCGAATACCCTGTTGTACGTGACAAGGAGTAGGGTCGCCTGTCCAACATCGTGGGTTTTCTGCGGGTCCTCCGCTTTCCTCCCACTGCTAAAGACCCCTACGCGCAAGCGAATTATTGAAATAAAATTAATTTACTATATGTCGAGTGGATGTTAAACCCCATTCCTCTCTCACTCTCTCTCTGTACATATTTTTGTTAGTGGTTTTAGGACAGAGTTTATGTTGGCCAATTTTACATATGATAGAGCTGGTAAAAAACATTCCAAATATAAGAGCACTGAAAAAGGGTACTGATACCCAAAACGTTATGATGATTAAAAAATCTCTTCTCTAACCTAAGTCTGTTGTAATGCTGTTGCACAGGGATCAGGCTCTCCCGTCACGTCGGTATTATGACCAGGTAGTATTTAACACAGCCATTCCCCCAATATTAAGGTAGTAGACTTACACCATAAATGGGCACCCAAGATGGATTATCTAAAGTGAGTTAACAATAGTCAGCTATGACAGATATAATAGACAATTAGTAGTAATGAGATAATCCATCTATAAACATTACATAATCAAGGCCCAAATAGTCAACTTAGTAAATGAATGAATGGATGTCACTAAAAATACTACCCCTTGTCAACTATGAAATATTATTAAGTTTAAATATATTTCATTACTATTTATATTGTTTATTGTTACCAAGTAACATTGTTACCAAGTATATACATGTAAGAGGAAAGATTGTAGATCATAGGTAGTTAACCACAGGCAGGCAGAGGACATACTGAAGGGCCGGTCTATGATAAGTTACATGTATTTCTTAGATGTTGTTCCTTATTAAGTTACCTAGCCTGTGGGTCAGACTATTGTATATATATTATTATTGTTAAGTATTGTTACTACAGAATATATAGAGGATATTTGTCGTTTTAGAGTGAATAACATATTTTATTTCATCGAGAAGCTACGCATTCGTGAAAATATAAACGTTTTCTTGCTTATAGAGATGAAATAAAATATGTTATTCACGACAAAACGACAAATGTTCTATTTATTTTATGATTTTAGGTAAAAACAACTAGCCAGTGGAATAACACTTTTATTTCACTGATAAAACGCGGTATTCCACTACTGATCATAAAATAAAAGATTATAAATACCAAGAAGAAATGAGTTATTGAATTATTGTATGTTCAATCTCACACCCCAAACTAGATTGAACATATAACCCATCGTCGAAGGTTGGACCATAAGCAGGTCCAAAACCCTGGATGATAGTATCATCTTTTTCATCCGTCTGTTCAGCTTTAGTTACTATTTTAATAGAGTGTTGGCAGTCCTCTTCCCATATCCAAATATAATTTTAATATAGAGATCTTTGCTAGAAATCGGGAAGTGACGCCAAGAAATTCAAGTCATTGTCGTTACTGGCTGTAGTAGAGAGCGATAAACACAGTCGATATATTCATACCAAAGCTCAAAAAACAGAAAAATCTGTGAATATTTCTAACAAAGGTTACAGTGTACATGGTATTATTAGCTGTTGTCCTCAACAGAAATCTTTTAAATACCGGTAATGTTTTTATTCACAAAATCAGGGAGTTGGATGGCCAAATGGTTAGCGCGTGCGCGCTGCATCATAAGTTCTGTCATTGAGTCAACTGGTGTGGTTTCCTACAACTGCTAAAGACCTTTACGCTCAAGTGAATTATTGAAATAAAATTGAACCATACATGTATGTTAGCCCTGAAATGACCTAGTTTGTGTCGAGTGGACGTTAAACCCCATTTCTCTCTCTCTTTATTCACAAAATCTGAATAGGATTGGGGAACAGACTTAGCCAATGTAAAACCCCTCTCTCTATAAATCTACTGTAATGGACATTTGACAAATTGCGATTAATGGGGTTTATTGTTCTACAGTGTACTTACTATGAAGGAAATTTTGCTCGGACATCGGCGTTATGGCCCACTTTTATATTGAACTCCAATTGCCAAGTGTTCTTTTACGTGCACGCCAATGTGTACACGGGACCTCGGTTTTCTGTCTGTCCAGTACCACTGACAACCGGGTTACCACGCCAGAAAGTCCCGATGAACTTTCTCCATGGTGTTAATGTCAATTGTTAGTTCATTCGGAATGTGGGTTAGGGTTATCCCTTTGTAATGTCATTTCAGACTATTTTCTTTTCTAAATTATAGAGCAGTAAAAACATTGTTTGCATACGTACACATCAGTGCACATCAGTATGGTACACATTAGTTCTGTTGACTGATTGTTTGATTACATAGTATTATATTTCTGATGACAGAGATAAAACAATGAATAACATGAATTAGTCATTGATCTAATTAAGTTTGTTTGATGTTCAAGTTGTCTGGGTTTTAATTTATTGATTCTCATGGTGTATTGATTTCACTGTTCAGTTTAGTCTCTGACGAAAGATGTTATAAGGACAGTGCCAGAATTTTGTATGCGGCTCCAATCGGACTAATGAAGATTGACTTTTTGTCATGCGTGTATTTTGATGAAAAGTTTTCCAGTGGCATACTGGGGCCTCCGAAATAGGATTCAGCCCAAACTTAGGACACTTATTTTATCTCACATGTATAATTAGGATTATGGGTTAGGGTTATCTGTTTGTAGTTTCTAATTTGGTGTGTATTGTTTGCTGTTTGTTTGAATAGACATACAGACGTACTTTGTATTCATTTATTATTTAAATAGTATAGATTTACAAATTCTGTTAAGACAACTTAAGTGTGGAATGCCTCAACTAATGGCTGTTTGTTTTATTACCTATAAGTATAACCTACTATATCATGTATGGTTATTGTTTTCTTATATGATTATAAGTTCTGTTCAATCCCTACATTGGCCAAGAAAGTTCATCAGGATTTGCCGGTGCGGTTTCCCCTTGTAAGTGGTGCAGGATTCAGGACCTGACAATGACACTGTCTAGTCATTCGGATGGGTCGAAAAACCGAGGTTCCAGCCAGGTATACATTAGCGTACCCGTAAAAGATCCCTTGTTAGTTACAATTCAATATAGGAGTAGGCCAGTGGTTCTCAACCTTTCTTGCCAACGGCCCACCTTGGAACACATGAAAAAATAGTGACACACCTGGCTAAATATATAATATATGAAAAATATTTGAATTTAACAAAATAAAAACATACAACCATAGACAGAGACTAGTCATAGAATGATTCAAAGTAAATAAGGAAATACACAGCTATGAACTTATCAATAGACACCAGTGAATACTCAATTGGGATCACATGGTTTTTCGCATTTTCTTAGTGTGTCGTTCAAAATTTTCGCGGCACACTTAGGAAGATCTCGCGGCACACTGGTTGAGAATCACTGGAATAGGCCATAGTGCTGCTGCCAGGGCAAATATATACATGTAGATGGGACAAGTTAATCTCAAAAGTGGAGTAATCCCAAACAAAACTATAACCCGGGAATCATTTAATCTTGTGTATTAAGCATTACATGTAATTTCTTTCATATTCATTCAATATCAAAAATTTGTTTGAAAATTTGTAAAAATCATTTAAAATCACCCCAAATCATCTAATTTGTACTTGTGTCCAGTTTAAAGATGACCGATTAATTTTAATAATGAGTGTTCAATTTACAAGTACATGTATTTAATTTCTTGACTACTGTTAAAAAATTAATCATTATACATCAATAATCAATTGGGTTCTTTGATTTTGAACAGTGATCGAGAAACTAATTGCTTCCTAATTGGAAGCTCATTATCAAAATTGAATGGTCAGCTTTAATTGGACACAAGTACAAATTAGATGATTTTAAATGATTTGTACAAATTTTTAACAAGGATTAGATACTGAATGAATGTTAAAGAATTTAATGCTAAATACACAAGATTAAATGATAGCCCGGTTACAGTGCAAGTTGTTAAAGAAACCAATGCAGTTGGGTTTAATCATACTTACACTCTACAACATCATTCGCATGTGGGCTATTTAAAGTTGGAATTCAACTCCATAACCTCAAAACCTGACCAATTGATTTTTACTCCTACCGACACCTGCTACATATTTGGGGGATCAAACCTTTTGTACTTGATGACCATATTATTTTGTCATTAGCTCCTGGACTATTATAAGACAAATTATATCACAAATTTGTCACGTTCAAGCGGGGAATTAAAACCACGCCACTTGACTCAATGACATGATCCAACACGCACACATATTCGTCCCCCATCCCCCCACCTTTAAGAAAGATTAATATGTTTCTTTAATACTTCTAGGTAATTGCACTTTTCATCTAGTGAAAAACCTGTTTATATAGTGACCTTGATGTGAAAAACCTGTTTACGTAAGGGGTGGTGGTGGTGGAGAGGAAATTCAATCTCTGGTAGATTATTAAATCATCAAAGGATTATTTGGAGTGAAAATCGTCGTACAGGTCTGTACCACATTGTTGTTGTTACGTTATCTCTAGGAAAGTACATGTCTTCCTCTATAATCAGAGATAACATTGAATGTAGGTGTTGGGTAAATATTATATCCTGCTTTTTGATTGCATCCTGCTTTTTGGTGGATTATTGAAATGGGTTTGTGTACCTGTGTATATGTCACATCCTTAAGGTAGATTGTTCATACTTGATGTAAGTGTTTATTAGGTAAGTATCTTGTTTAAGTTCAATGATGAACATTTTCTGATAAGGCTAAGCAATTTGATTGATTGATGTTTTGGTTGTAATTAAGGGAGATTGATGAAAGCTGGTCAAGTGTATAGATTCATGATATCAATCCTCCAACTAAGTTTCATGATGAACATTTTCTGGCCAAATTAAAGATGCATTATGGCTTGATTTCCCCTGGAAAAAGTTTCGACCTAAACCCCCCTAAAATATGCTAATACAGCTTTTTTAGGATCAGTTTTTAGTTTTCAGTGTTTTGCAATACAAAGGAAAATGAAAACGTCCGTTCTCATATTTATAATACAGTTAAAATTGTCAGGTACTAATTCATGTTACATGGCTCATATTTATAATACATAGCTAGCATCAGTTAAAATTATCAGGTACTAATTCATGTTACATGGCTTATATTTATAATACAGTTAAAATTGTCAGGTACTAATTCATGTTACATGGCTCATATTTATAATACATAGCTGGCATCAGTTAAAATTGTCAGGTACTAATTCATGTTAGTGTCTGACATTTTGTCAGATCTGACTAATGTAAAATCATTATTTCCAGGACAGAATATTGGCCTTTGGACAAATTACATCAACCTAATCCAATATAATAGGTTGTATCTTTAGATGTATGTGATCAATCTGTTTCACCACAGAGGTACATGTATTACAAAAATCTTCTAATTACTCTGTAAAAGAATGCATTGTTTACATACATGTAAGACGATGCCGGTCCAGACAGAATGGTGCATTTTACTCATTTTTCATACTTATTTACACTAAATAGAGAATATTTTTTACCTACACATACTTCAAACACCTTTATTTATTTTTTCTAATGCTTAAAAAAAATGTTTTGGAATTTAATTCACAGATGAAAAAAAGTTAATATCGCAAGCTCATTAAGCCACACCAATGTCATCCTATCAGTGATTGTAGCGGCCTAGCAAATTTATACACCTACTTCCACAATTTTTGGGGGGTTGGATGGCTGAGTCGACTGGCGTGGTTTTGAATCCCCGGTTGTACATGGCAAGGAGTAGGGTCGCCTGTCCAACCTCGTGGGTTTTCTCCGGGTCCTCCGGTTTCCTCCCACTGCTAAAGACCCCTACGCGCAAGCGAATTATGTAAATAAAATTAATCCATATGTTAGTCCCGAAATGACCTAGTTTGTGTCGAGTGGACGTTAAACCCCATTTCTCTCTCTCTCTCTCCACAATTTTTAGTGAACATTTTTAATTACATTTATGGACCTTGCTTCACTTTGTAGACCTTTGTGAACCCTCTTAATGACAAAAGTTATCCTAAGATCCGTATGGAATTTATATGCATTATCAAAATATAGTCTTATTCATTTATTGTATAGAGCACATGACAAAGTATGCCTATTAAAGTAACGATGCTTGATTTGAATTTTTCAGAAAATATCAAATTTCTCGCGGCTTAATCCATGCTAATAATCAGATTAATTATTCAACATTTAATTAAGCAAACAAAAACCATAATACTAATCTCTTGGCATGGATTCAATCAGATTTGCGCACTGTCTCATAAGGTCTATCATTGAGTCGACTGGCATGGTTTTGATTTCCCGGTTGTATGTGACGAGTAGGGTCGCCTGTCCAGCCTCGTGGGTTTTCTCTGGGTCCTTCGGTTTCCTCCTACTGCTAAAGACCCCTACGTGCGAGCAAATTAATGAAATAAAATTGAACCATATGTTAGTCCCAAAATGATCTAGTTTGTATCGAGTGGACATTAAGCCTCATTTCTCTCTCTCTCTAATAACTAAACAGAATTTGATCCATATTGGACTGATATTGGTATTAGATTCAACTTGGTATTAGATATAATGCAAAATGTAACTGGATGTTACAATTATTTTCACCATGTAGAAATCTCAGATCACCCACGGCTAAAGGTCCCTACGCACAAGCAAATTATTGAAACAGATTTAAACTATATGTTAGTCCTGAAGTGACCTAGTTTGTGTTGATTGGATGTTACCCCCCCCCCCCTCTCTCTCTCTCTCTCTCTCTCTCTCTTCTGATCACCTTTTATTAAAACCCTGTAGAGTAAAACTTGTTTTAATCATGGCACAGATTAGATATTGACCCTAAAAAAAAAATGCTGTATTAAACATTGGTATTCAATATATTTTATACAATTTATTTTCTATATGGAACAGACAGCTTTATAATCAACATAAAATGAATAATCCACTTAAAATTGCTGTTTTCATTAGATTTAATACTTAATTGACCATCTGTCGATGTCAGTTATTTTACGACTATATAAATATAATTATAGATAACACCCCGAACTGATTTACACTAAATTTACGATCGGCAGGTAATGTACTTGGACAAGTTTCTGACTTATAGTATTACTACAAAGTTTGTTAATTTTCTGAATTCTGCACGTCGGAAGTGGTATTCGGTGTCCTAGAAATATTAAACATTATACAATTTAATAAGACTACACTTAAAGATACATTATGTAAGATTTAGATAAACAGCTGACAGTTTGCGTTATAATAGTTCAACAATAGATAATGATAAGGGAATATATTGAAAATTTCAGTCAAATTACTTTATTCTGATCAAAGTTATGAGCGTGTGGGTTTGGTGGGTTTTTTTCTGATTTATTAACTGTGAATCTTTCAAATAAGTATAAAATGAATTAATTAAATTAGTATTATTAAAGATACATTATGGGAGATTTTTATAAGGAGTTAGCCATTCTTGCTATAACAGTTCAAAAATAGATGATGAAAGAAGAATATATTGAAAATTTCAGTCAAATTACTTTATTCTGAACATAGTTATCACCAGTGTAATTTTTGACTAGAAATGGGATTGAATTTTATCTTCACCGATTCTTAGTATGGCCGATCGTTTGATTGACAGGCGTTAACTCCACCTACATAATCTCTGCTGTCTTTTGTCTGCTGTCATCATATCCGAATTTGTGTTTTACCTTTTTGGATTTTTATAACAATTGGACAAAATGAGTGAGAGGGTAAATTTTCATTCTTACTTGTATTTTGGGCATGCATTAAATCAATTGTATATAGGACATAATATTATAATACACAATTATGATAAATCTATAGGTATACACCAGTGGCGTCGTGCCTATTGGGGAAATAAAAAAAAATTTTTATTGATATTATTAAGACAGAAGATCTGTCCGTCTGTATTACTCATCACACGGTCTCCAGGAATTGTATAATTTGTCATAATCTGTGTTTAGTTTATTGCACTTTAAATAGTTTAGACGTCATTTGTTAAGGCATCGCTCAACAGCGGCCTCGCTTCATACACTCTATCATTTAGCCTCGATCCGGGAGTATGACGTCAACGTAACGGTTAATCTCTGCTCACGACGTCATTTAAAATTAAATCAGTCAACGAAATCCCGTTTATATCCAAGCTGAATGCAAGCCATCCGTGGATCTACAGAGTTGATTTTGTGCTTGTTGTGTAAATAAAGATCTGCAAAAATCAGATTTAGCTCTTGCATAATGTATGTTTAATATTTCATGAGACTAAGAGATTAAAAAATAAATTCATTCAGTTGTTATTGACATCAAATAACGAATATTGAACATTCAGTTCGAGAAGCTTTGACAAACTATGTGGATGTTTGTGTATTCATGCTAGCAATTCGGTATAAACAAAATGTTTTCAGACACTGGATAATGTTTCTATTGTATACTTTGACATTGAACAACTAATTCTGAAAATTCAGTAACAAAAGGTTTTCAGACACTGGATAATGTTTCTATTGTATGTTAAAATTGGTAGACTTTAACATCAAATAATGAAGAATACTGAAAATTTAGTTTGAATAGCTTAGTAATTCAGTACATATAAACAAAATATTTTTCTGACACTGAATAATGTCTCTATTGTGTATGTTGACTAGGGGGTCATGGTGGCTAAGTGGATAAGATGCTGGCTGGCTAGCCTGGAGGTCGGGTGTTCGTTCCCTGCATTGGCCGAGAAAGTTCTTCCAGATTTTGCGGCGTGGTTCTCCCTTGTCAGTGATGCAGGATGAAGGGCCTGACAAGGACAGTTGTCTAGTCGTTCGGATGGGACGAAAAACCAAGGTCCCGTGTAAACATTGGCGTGCACATAAAAGATCTCTTGACGGTTGGAATTCGATAAGAGCAGGTCGTAGTGCCGCTACCCGGGCAAAATTTCGCTCATAGCACACTGTCATAATTAGTCCAGTTCGGAGAACAGTAGGACCTTAAACACCATTTCATTTCATTACATCTCTCTCTCTCTATCTCTCTCTCTCTAATAGCTTAGCATATAAACACAATATTTTTCTGACACTTAATATTATTTCTATTGTGTATGTCGACTAGACTTTGTGTGTGGTAAGGTCGTGTTTTGAATGTGCCGTGTGTGTGATTTTGTGATGTTTAATCGTCAAATGTTGACGTTAATTTCGATGATTTGTGTGGAGATTAATCAACAAGTCGAAGTTACATAGAGAGAGAGTAATGAAGGCTGTAGCGCGATCGGTAATCAATAATCTTCTGTCAGTAAACCCTTTTATATCCTGGCTTTATTTTGGATCATGGAAAGTCTGACTGATGGGTCACGCTCGTTGTTTTATAGGCTATGTAATATTGAACTACTTGTAGGTCAGTTTTATCTTGAAGATGAATGATTGAATGATAAGTTAATAATAAATAAAATGAAAGTAGAAACCTTATCAATTCTTTAAATGACATCTTCAAGTATACC